CGCGAGAGAGATCAGCGGCCTTGTGGTGATGGTGATCGGCTGAACCTTCGGTCCTGAACGTCAGTAGCAGCAGGCTGGGGATTGCATGGAGTAAGAAGCCGGTGAGAGTTGCCTTCAAAGCGAGGCCATGTCCCAGTGTTCCAGGATGAGTTTGATGTCCAACGATTGCGAGAGTAGCGTGCAATGTGGCCGGCGCGAGAGCAGTGAAAGCAGATCGGTCCATCATCCGACGTTCTCCATTCATCAGGGTTCCGGTAGCGGGAAGGGTAGCGTAAAGGGTACACTGGCATCTGGTTAACCGAAGCCGAACTCTCAGTAGTGCGAACAGCGCAAACAGGTGCGATGCCGAGATTTGCTATTTCTTGGCGAACGACGGCTTGGATGAGGAAGACGGTGGATGCGTTATCTTAAGGGCCATCGACAGCGATGGCTGCAGGACCCATTGCTTCGAGTTCGCGGCGGACGATTCGGGCGACATTGCTAGATGAAGTAGCTTGCGCGAACTTGGGGGAGTCTTAGCAAGTCGATGTGGCGCTCGCTAAGCGCTGACATTATTTCACAAGCGCGTCGACGGTGGCGCAATCTTTAACGATCAACAAATTAAAGGCGTCGTCTGCCATTCGTTTTAATATGTGGGCGGTCTTGTCAGTTTCGCTCATGCTTTTGTCAACCTCTCGACAAAGGCCCAATACGTCCTGTATATAAGACACATATGATTCCGTCGATGTCAGCACGCGGCATTCCAGTGTTTACTCGCGGCCTGCTGTCACCCAAATGGCCTGCTGAACCACTCCACAAGCTTCAGCTTGCAAATGCCCCAGCTGGCCAACTCCGACTTATGCGTCTCATACCATACGAGTGACACATCCCTCAAGTAAAACACAACGTTGGCCAGCATTAACGTGGGTACACTGATAGTATTCGCTGACACGCTCGTACAATGCTACCCAATCTTCTCCGTTCACCTGGTCTTCGCCGGTGCCCGAGGTTCCGAGGTCTCGTGGAGGCAGCAGCAGGTGCTGCTGCGGCTGCTGTTGCTCTTGCGGGTTGGCACGTTGAGCTATTGCAGGAATGTGAAGGTGGCAACCGCTCCGAAGTTCCGCGTTGGTTTGCCGGAAGAACCGGGTCGGTGTACCCAGCACCTCCTCCAATAATCTTACAGGAAACGTACATTTACGGATATTTTCAATATTTACATGTGACGACAATGGCTGACACAGTGGCGGGCTCGGACCAGATGATGATGATGATGATGCCTCCACTATGGCTCTTGCCTACTCAGGGGGATTTGCCGAGAATTGAGGATATGAAATTTCAGGCCTTTCAAGTGATACGTAATCCTAACAGAAGAAGGATAAAGCAAACGTAAATACCGAAAGAGTGTAATAATTATTTTTTGCCATTTCGACCAGACAGAATAATATATATCTTCAATTGAAATTGCAGAAATTTCAAACACGTTTAAAATTGACATTTAGAATTTGCTTAATAATACTATATAACAAATATAAAATAGAAATTCAGAGGCGCATTCGTTTAGTTTCACGAAGATAACTGCAAGCGGCATCAAAGGCGTTCCTGTGGCTGTAGCCCAGAACCGAAGCACCGAAGGTGAGTATATTCTCAATGATGAAGGGCAACCCAAGGTTAGCGAGTGGGGTGACAAGGAGACGTTTGCTTGCTTGCTTTGGATCCTACTCACTGTGGTGCATTGGACATTAAACCGGCGGTTATTGTGATGGGGAAAAGGAAGTGGTAAATTTTGAAGAAGAAAAAATAATTATTCAGTCATGTAGAGAATATAGGAGTTGATAATTATAAGGCGACTAACGTATAAGGTAGGTAAATAACTAATAATTGAAAGGAATAAATGGATGGTAATAATAAAGAACTAGAATTTCATTAGGTAAAAAAAGAGGAAAAAAGAGAAAATTTAACAAGCAAACCTTCTTGTGTGTCTGAGAAATTCACAAACTGCTACGCAGACGCTGCTGTTGCTTTGGCCCAGAGAAGAAGCCCCAAGGGAAAGTATGTTTTCAGAATTAAAGGTAATGTTTAATATTCTGAATATAGTTTCTAAAAGTGTTTTTCCTGTGGCTTGTAAAACGTCGGCAAATAAGAAAAAAAAAGATCGATGTTTTCTGGCCCTTGACAGTAAGAGCAAAGGGGAGATGGCACCTGACCAGACCTGTATAAATAGAAATTAAGAGGCGGAATTCGACATCGAAAATTTTTGATGCACACTTCGAATTTGCGAGAGAAGCACCATTTATTATTCCAAGCAAAAGAAAGATGACCGCATTCTTGAACTGGTAATCTAATTTTCATGGAATGCTGGAGTAAAGGATATTTACAAAACAGGAATTCAGTGACAAAACTGGTGTCAGGTACAATGGACATTACAGGACCATCTAGAGACCGCCGCGCGAGAGTGTCAGCCATTTCATTTATATATATATATATATATATATATATATATATATATATATATATATATGCCTCAGTGACCTGGCATGCACGCCAATCGCACTGTACATAAGTGTTTTAGGATTAAACAAGCGAAACCATTCCAAGGGGAATACTCGAAGGAAGAAGCTGAGGCAATGGATCTACATACGGAAAGTGAATCAGTAGCAATAACAACTGCCGAATCATTGACTGAAAGTTTTCTAAAAGCCAAAATGATTGCTAAAAGCTCTGCTTCAAATATAAGAGTATATTCTGGGAGGCGTACTGGGAATGGCCTAGACAATGTCTCTGAGAAGATGCCTACCCACGCTTTCTTTTCACACATGGATGCATCCGTAGCAATAACATTAACAATTCCCAATTGAAGTAAACAGTGTTCTAATAAGCCTTTTAGATATCTGTTAGGTAGAAGTTTGGCATTAGAAGAGAATATATCATCAAATTCATTTTTGATTTTTGCCAATGAGTAATTTGAAACAATGCTTCTTATGTTAACATTTAAAGGTTCTAGCTGCTTTTTAACAAACAATACTTGAGGTCTATGTACTCTAGGCGCTCATTAAAATGTTCGCGGTAAGGAAATGAATACGAACTGTGAAAGTCTAATTGAAGAAGCGTAAATTTTTAAACATGCTTTAATGGTGAGCATGCGGAATCTACAAGCTAGGGCTGGGGATTCGGGCTTCTTGATATAACACACTGTTCACAGTAAATTTCGGAACCCCCAAGAACTTCGAATGGCCTCTCGTTTTAAGATAACGAGGGGATTAATTTTATATGCTGGCCCGTCAGAATATAAAACGCAACAAAATTCTAGAATTGGGCGAACATACATACGGTAAATCCTAATTAGACTGTCCTTGCGGCGTAGGTCAGTGCGGTGTCGTCCGAGCTTACCAATTGTTCCAATAGCACGAGTTGCCTGAGATTTTTATTATGTTTAATGTGGTTTCGCGAAGTCAGTATTTCATCATAGAACTCCTAAATATTTTTCTTCATGATCTCGATCTACTTCGTAGTCGTTTCTTGCAGACAGGGACCCTCTACCACGTTTAGCCCCAATTCCACTACTATATCTAATATGTAAGCTTAATACCAAGTGTTAGGTCCCGCATATTAGGTTTTTTTGAGGCGGAATTATGCAAAATATACATAATGATTTATCTCAATATGATAGATTAAAAGTCCTACGCTACGTTACCTAGTGCACCTAGAAAAAAGTGCGGTGTATAATTTAGAGGTGCCCCGCTGGAATTATCTATCCAATAGCATAGCCGCTCACCGGCACCAGCTGCGTTCCCAAGAGTTAGGGCTGTAAACGCTCCTGTAACCACCTAGTTACTGTAGGAGTCGTGTGCGCTTGTGTATGTGTGCTGCATGAACGTAATTACTCAATGATATATCGAATGTCAACGCTCACAGATTAGGACCGCAATAAAATGGGTGACTCATGGGACGGAATGATCGCGGCTAGTACATTATAAGGGCGAAGCTCCTAAAGCCGTGGGTGTGTCCATCCTAGCTCGTACGTGACCGCCTAGATCGTCGACTCACTCAGCAGGTGCGGACGGACGGACGGACAGACCAGCGGACGGACGATTCACGATTTACCGATAAAACCCTCCGAAGCTTCGCCCCACTCATCATTATTCCCCCCGTGAATATGCTGTGATTTTTGGATATGCTGTAACCGTTGCTACCTACGTGAGTAACCATTACTAACTGCAACGGTGGAGGTAGTAACGGTTACTAACCTCCCCGTTACTAACTTCACTTACTAACCGGTTAGGAACATAAGTGACAAGTAGTTAGTAAGCCGAAGCAACGTTTCTAGAAACGTTTGCCGAAGTTGGTAGTTTTCTTAAGAGTGCATATGCTGCGCCAACCATGGACAACATGTCGATAACGCAGCAATTGTTATAACGATGTCGCGCTAAAGACCGCAACGCTTGCAGCAGTTTCTTATGATACATCTGCAGTTGAGTCACTGCCTCGGAGTGCCAGAGGGATGGATCTATTCGCGGCGACGGCCGCTCGCATGTCGGCTGTAGCAGAAAGGCAGCAGCGGAGGCGGAAGCGATGCGACTGGCTACTAAACTCCACGGAGACGCGGCGGAGGAAGCAGTGGAGCAGGAAACGCGAGTTTGTGGCAGTACTACTCCCGCCGCGCACACAAGTTTATCGTTCGACACGCGGAAACGCGCACACGGCACAGGCCGGCGGCGGTTTCTACGGCGCGAAGCTGCTACAAGCTGCTCCGATCGATACGACGGCTACCGACGACGGCTGTGCGTGCGACTCGTGAAAAATCGCAGGTATCGAAGCACCTGCGCAGCTGATCCCCGAGAGCGAGGCGACCGAAAGCACTGAAGTCAGGACAGCACGATAGCAAAATTTAAACGCGGCCCCAGCGGACCGCCAGAAAAGACCGACGGACGGGGGGGCAACTCTTCCCCTCCGCACTCCGTTCGAATTCGCTCGCGCGGAGCAAGTAAAGAAGGCGCCGTGTGTTTACGATGTGGCTCGCTCACCTATGTCAATCGCGAACCGCTTGGCGTTCTTGAGGTTCCTGAAGACGGCAAGCTGCTCGGGCAGCTGTATGCTCCGGGTCCGCCGCACTTCGCCGCAGCCTGTGGCGGCTGCTGTGTTGCTGTGCATCGCGGAGGACGGCACTGGCGGCGACGACGTTGAAGGCATGGGACGCGACTCGACTGGCACTCGGGCACGACGCACCCGGGCTCATAGGGAACACCCGGAGGGCTAAGAGAAATACACACTGCACCACCGACACCTTCCGTGAGCGTTTCTTCTATGCGCGTAGACGATGGGCTGCTTTTTCGACGCACCGACTCGTCACTTTTTCAGCGAGTAATTCGGACAAAAGCCACCGTTACTTCAGATGCCGCTGGTTGTGCTTTCTTTTTTTTTCCTTTCCCCACTGACACAACAAAGCAACACTAGTAGCGTCCAGCAGGAGCGACCACCCCGATTGCACAGGACACTCTGGGAAACGACTGCCGCCGACAATCCTGCAGCGGGCACAGCTGATGCTTGCGTTTGCGTTGCTGCCTGCCCCGCAACGGTAGTGGTAACGATTGCATCGCCATCTCTACGAATTACGACAAACTAAAGACGCGTTTATTTGCCATCTGCCGGATTCTGAAGGAAGTAGAATACGTCGTCTGCTAGGTGCGGCTTTCCGTGTTCGCTCTAATACAATGGCTATGACAGTCGAGGTGTTGCGCAGTATTCTACGCCGATAACGGGCAGAAAAGAGGCGAACTGAGCTCATATATATAAAAAAAATGTAGTGAAACCTTACACCTCTGTTACACCTATGTTACACCCTCTCAAGCATCGTACAGTTGCGGAACATGTTCCTTCAAAGAAAAACAAAAGAAAAAGACACAGTAGAGGCAAAGAGAGAAAGAAAGAAAGAAAGAAAGGAAGAGAGAAAGAAAAAAGAGAGAAAGAGCGAAAGAAAGAAAGGAGGAAAGAAGGAAGGAAGAAAGAAAGAAAGGAGAATAAGTATGTGCCAGAAAAGCAGCGGTTATAATGAAGTAGTAAATATACTGTCATTTGTACTGTATTTATCAAGTTGCTTTTCGTCTGCATGGTTATAACTTCGACTGTTCTAGGAATTGCTGATTTATCACGTAAATACGAAACTATGTCGGTAGTTGGTGCAGCGTAATCAAACCCGATAGATAGGACAGTGAAACGACATTTCTATTTCAGATTTAGCGTACAAGTAAATGAAAAAAGTGAAGGAAATAATACAACAATATTGTAAGAATGGCAATGTCTACCAGACTTTTAAACGCGAAGCATTTCTTAGCGAACTTCGGCGAGATAGAGCGTATCTATCTATCTATCTATCTATCTATCTATCTATCTATCTATCTATCTATCTATCTATCTATCTATCTATCTATCTATCTATCTATCTATCTATCTATCTATCTATCTATCTATCTATCTATCTATCTATCTATCTATCTATCTTGCCACCTAAGATTTTCAGATCTCCTGGCTGTTTGAATTATGGGATCTATACCAAAATGGGTATCTTAACATGACTGCATGACGAGCGTAAGTGACCAGTCATAAAGTGAAAATCATGACAAATATGTCGGGAATGTCATCATCTACATGTCATAGTCTTGCTGCTCCTTGGGTGGTTTCGTTCACAATACATAACGGAAAACCGGTATGGCAAGACATGACTGCATGGCGCACATAAGTGGCAGGCCTTCACGTAGAAATCATGACACGCACGTCATGTAAGAACATGACTACGTGCCGTGCTCATGATGCGCTCGCGGCTGTTTCGCTAGCTTCACATATACCAAGTTTGGTATTACGTGATGCGAACGGACATCACAGGTCTCGTCCAAACATGATAATCACGACATGCGTGTCATGTAAGAACATGAATACATGCCATGCTCATGATGCGCTCGCGGCTGTTTCGCTAGCCTCACATCTACCAAGTTTGGTATTACGCGACGCGAACGGACGACAAAGATAAATGACTCGTCCAAACATGATAATCACGACATGCGCGTCATGTAAGAACATGACTACGTGCCGTGCTCATGATGCGCTCGTGGCTGTTTCGCTAGCTTCACATATACCAAGTTTGGTATTACGTGACGCGAACGGACATCACAGGTCTCGTCCAAACATGATAATCACGACATGCGTGTCATGTAAGAACATGACTACATGCCATGCTCATGATGCGCTCGCGGCTGTTTCGCTAGCCTCACATCTACCAAGTTTGGTATTACGCGACGCGAACGGACGACAAAGATAAATGACTCGTCCAAACATGATAATCACGACATGCGCGTCATGTAAGAACATGACTACGTGCCGTGCTCATGATGCGCTCGCGGCTGTTTCGCTAGCTTCACATATACCAAGTTTGGTATTACGTGACGCGAACGGACATCACAGGTCTCGTCCGAAACATGATAATCACGTACATGCGTGTCATGTAAGAACATGACTACATGCCATGCTCATGATGCGCTCGCGGCTGTTTCACTAGCCTCACATCTACCAAGTTTGGTATTACGCGACGCGAATGGACGACAAAGATAAATGACTCGTCCAAACATGATAATCACGACATGCGCGTCATGTAAGAACATGACTACGTGCCACGCTAATGATGCGCTCGCAGTTGTTTCGCTAGCTTCCTATATACCAGATTTGGTATTACGTGACGTGAATGGATGATGAAGGCATATGACTGGTACAAACATGATAATCATGACATGCATGTCATGTCGGAACATGACTACATGCGTGCTCATGATGCGCTCGCGGCTGTTTCGCTAGCTTCACATATACCAAGTTTGGTATTACGTGACGCGAACGGACATCACAGGTCTCGTCCGAACATGATAATCACGACATGCGTGTCATGTAAGAACATGACTACATGCCATGCTCATGATGCGCTCGCGGCTGTTTCACTAGCCTCACATCTACCAAGTTTGGTATTACGCGACGCGAACGGACGACAAAGATAAATGACTCGTCCAAACATGATAATCACGACATGCGCGTCATGTGAGAACATGACTACGTGCCACGCTCATGATGCGCGCTCGCAGTTGTTTCGCTAGCTTCCTATATACCAGATTTGGTATTACGTGACGTGAATGGATGATGAAGGCATATGACTGGTACAAACATGATAATCATGACATGCATGTCATGTCGGAACATGACTACATGCCACGCTCATGACGCACTCACGGTTGTTTCGCAAGCTTCATATATATGAAATTTGGGTATTACGTGACGCGAATCGATGCTGAAAGTATGTGACTCATCCAAACATGGTAATCTTTACATGCGTGTCATGTAAGAACATGACTACATGGCACGCTCATGATGCGCTCGCGGTTGTTTCGCTAGCTTCATATATACCAAATTTGGTATTACGTGACGTGAATGAATGATGAAGGCACATGACTGGTAAAACATGATAATCATGACATCCGTGTCATGTGGGAACATGACTACATTCCACGCTCATGATGCGCTCGCGGTTGTTGCGCTAGCTTCATATATATCAAATTTAATTTGGTATTACGTGACGTGAATCGACGGAGAAGGTATGTGACTGGTGCCAACATGATAACTATGACATGCGCGTCATGTAAGAACATGACTACATGACATGCTTATGATGTGCTCGCTAACGTCTCTCTAGCTTCCCATATACCAAGTTTGGTATTACGTGACGCGAAGGGACGACGAAGGTAAATGACACGACCTAACATGATAATCATGACATGCGTTTCATCTAAAAGATGACTACATGCTACGCTGATAATGCGCTCGCGACCATTTCACCAGCTTCACATATACAAAATTTGGTATTACGTGTCGTGAGAAATGACAAGTCTAAACATGATAATCATGACGTGCGTGTCATTGTCATGCAAGAACATGAATATACGCCATGCTCATGATGCGTCCGCGGCCATTTCGCTAGCTTCACATATACCAAACTTGGTATTACGTGACGCGAATGGACGACAAAAGTAAATGACACGCCCAGACATGATAATCCGGACATGCATGTCATGTAAGGACATGACAACATATCACGCTGATGATGCGCTCACGGCCGTTTCGCAACCTTCACATATACCAGATTTGGTATTACGTTATGCGAACGGACGACGACCACAAATGCCAGGCGCAAACATGACAATCATGACTTGGAAGGCATGTACGGCATAATTTTTGTCCGCCTCGTAACATTGTGCTGATTTTGATGTGACGCTTCAAGCTACCTCGTTCAAGCTTTCTCGTTCAAGCGAACCACCGCAGTGTGTCCGTTTGTCGTGCGAGTCGCGTCCATGTAGTAGACGCTATTATCCTCTACGTAGAGAGTGCGACTCAAGTATCTCACCCGTGCCCGCCGACGACCAATGTTACGCTCAGGGTGCATGTCACATGACAGAGGATGTACGCAAAGCGCTTGAGCTATTTCGAGTGGCATGGAAGTACCCCGCGTTTCCGAAGGTTCAGGGGGGACTTAATGATCCAGGCAATGCAGTACGTGTATACCCGTTGGTGTGAGAAGAAGGCGGTGGCGCTGACTAATCCAATGGGCCTCGAGTATTTTATTGAGGGTATTGTGCACTCCTATTGACAAAAGGCGCTGCGTAGAAGTATAGTGCGGAACGCCCAGAGCCACCTTAATGGCCTTACGGAGGAGTGTGTCCACCCATTCATGTTGTCTCTGCGTCAGCCGGTGAAATGGAAGGTGATAATGGAGCGACCTGTAATACATGCATCCACTAGTCAAAGAATGTCCCGCTGCCCAAGTCCCGAGCGTCTATTACTTACGCGTCGGAACGTGGCGATGATCTGCTCCGTCTGGCGGGAGTGTTTGAAGATGGTGTGTCGTGCCCTGCCATCTGCTTTAACGTAAAGTCCAAGGATGCGTGCTCACTCTAACTGAGGAATAAGTGTTCGTTCGACGAGTACTTTGATGTGGAGTGGGGGATTTTTACGGCGGCCGTGAAAGACAAGGAGCTCAGACTTGTTTGGAGCACAAGCGAGGTTACCCGATCGAGCATAATCTGGCACTACCTCTACCGCTTGTTGAAGGTGGTCTTGAAGTTCACCGTCGGAACCCCGAAATGTCCACTACATGATATTTCCGGCATAGATGGCATAGTGCAGGTCCTCAATTTGGTTAAGTTGTTTAGGGAGACCTGACATAGCGGTCATTTGTAAGGTAAGCCTCTGCGTCCGTGTATCTCACAATGTCTTCTTTGCTGTTGATGCGTTGTAGTATCTGCTTGAGCAGTTTTATCCTGGAAAGCCCAAAACATTCGCTCGGATGTGGAGACTGGTTGCGGTGAAAGCAGAAAAAAGTGGAGGGTGCTTGAGCTTCGCTTTCAAGAGTAGATTGCGATTTGATAATTCCAGCGACTATTGGCGGCGCGACGGTAAGTCAAATTGGTGCATGAGACTGTGCTGAGGTGCGCGTCTTAGACAGCAAAGCTCGT